AGGGAAATGAAGAAAGTAGTAAAAACTACTGAACTACTGTCAACATCCGAGGATGACCAGGGACATGCGAGCTGCTACCCTGAGGAGCAACGGGAGAGGCTTAACATGGTGAGCTGACAGGTGGGAAAAGGTAACACTAAAATAGAACCAGCTGCTAAGACAAATTTTCAAACAAAAACAATAACAATCACTAGAGAAAAGGGGCCAGGACACAAAGTTACTAAGATTTTTATCTAAAAATGTTTCTCCCCCACAAAAAATTATAGGACATACAAGCAATCAAGAAAGCATGACTCATACACTGGGGGAAAAAATGCAAAACAAAAAAACAGGCTATGGTTTTAGCATGTGTGAGTAACCAGATGACAGATGTGACAAAGACTTTAAAGTAGCCATTTTAAGTGTGTTCAAAAAACTAAAAAGAAAATACAAAAAAGAAACAAAATATGAAGTTGAAAAATGTCAATAACTGAACTGAAAAATTTACAAGAGAGGGACACCACAGTAGCTATGAACAGGCAGAAGAAAGAATCAGCAGACATAAAGACAGATTAATAGAAGTTATGCAATCTGAAGGACAGAATGAAAAATAAAGAAAATGTGGGACTCTATTAAGCACTCAAACATATACATGTAATGGGAATAGCAGAAGGAAGGGAGAGAAGAATGAAAAACATGAGATACACAGCAAACAAAAAGAAAAAAGGCAAATGGAAATCGAACTATATTAATAACAACACTAAATGTGAATGAATTAAACAATCCAGTCAAGGACAGGGATTGTCAGACTGAAGAAAGCAGGAAGATCCAATTATATACAGTCTACAAGAGACAGACTTTGGATTCAAAATAGACTAAAAGCAGGTTGAAAGAGACCAGGGGTGTAGCTCAGTGGTAGAGTCACTTGCCTGTGATCAATCAGCAGTACCACAAAAACAAAAATAAAAACAAAACCAAAAAACTAGATTGAGGGCTGGGGATGTGGCTCAAGCGGTAGCTCGCTTGCCTGGCATGCACGGGGCACTGGATTCCATCCTCAACACCACATAAAAATAAAAAATAAAGACATTGTGTCCACCTAAAACTAAAAAATAAATATTAATAAAACTAGGTTGAAAATAATGTATCATGCAAAAAATCTCACAAGCACATAGATACACACACACACACACACACAGAGCTGAAGTGGCTATAGTGAAATCAAGCAATATGAACTTTTAAAAACAAAGTTACTAAAGATAAAGACTAGCCTGTAATCCCAGTGGCTCAGGAGGCTGAGACATGAGGATTGAGAGTTCAAAGCCAGCCTCAGCAAAAAGCAAGGCACTAAACAACTCACTGAGACCCTGCCTCTAAATAAAATACCAAAAATAGGACTGAGGATGTGGCTCAGTGGTGGAGTGCTCCTGAATTCAACCCCTGGTAGCCCCCCAAAAAAGACTATAACGATAAATGGATGATCAATCCATTAAAAATATATAACCCTTATAAATATATTTTCATCTATAAAAGAATAACATGCATGAAACAGGAACTGCAGAAATGAAGGGAAGGATAGATGATTCAACATCTATTGCTAGAGATTTCAATACCTCATTTTCAATATGGATAAAACAACTGGATAGAAAATTCACAAGGAAATAAAAGGCTTGAACAATACTATAAAAAGCTCCCAGCATATTCTATCAGTCTGGTTTAACATACTGATACCAAAAGCAGGACAGTACATCACACAAAAAGAAAACTACAGACCAATATATCCTATGAATATAGGTATAAAAATTCTCAACAAAATACACAAAAACCAAATCTAGCAACATGCAAAAAGAATTATGTTCCATAACCAAGTGAGTTTTTATCTCAAAAATAGAAGCCTGGTTTAACATTCAGAAAGTAATGATTATAATTCATTATATCAATAGAGAAAAAAAGTCATTTCAAAAGCCAGAGAACATTTGACAAAAACTAACACCTTTTTTATTTTTTAAAAAAGCCACTCAACAGAGTAGGAATAAAAGGGAACTTCCTCAGTTTAATACCACACACCCAGTATTCAATCCCAGTACTACATAAACAACAACAAGAAAGAAAGGAAAAGAGAGAGAGAGAGAGAGAAAAGAAGAAGAAAGAAAAAGAAAAATGAACATTTACAAAAAAAAATCCCATAGCTATCATAATATTTAGTACTAAAAGACTGGATACTTTCCCCTAAATTCAGAAATAAGACAAGAATATCCATTCTCAGCCAGGCACTGTGGCACATGCCGGCAATCCCAGTAGCTCAGGAAGCTGAGGCAGGAGGATCAAGAGTTCAAAGCCAGCCTCACCAATGGCAAGGTACTAAGCAACTTAGGGAGACCCTGTCTCTAAGTAAAATACAAAAAAGGGTTGGGGATGTGGCTTAGTGGGTGAGTGCTCCTGAGTTAAATCCCCAGTACCTAAAAAAAAAAAAGAATATCCATTTTCACTATTTAGGCTCAAGACTGTACTGAAAATTCTAGCCAAAAAAATTTAGGCAAGAAGTGCAGTGGCACACACAAGTGATCCCAGGGACTCAGGCAGCAGAACCAGGAAGATCACAAGTTTAAGGCCATCCTCAGCAACTTAGTGAGACCCTCAGCATCTTGATGAGATCCTTAAATTAAAATAAATAAATAAATAAATTATGACTGGGGATGTGGCTCAAGCAGTAGCGCGCTCACCTGGGGTGCGTGCAGCCGGGGTTCGATCCTCAGCACCACATACAAACAAAGATGTTGTGTCTGCAGAAAAACTAAAAAATAAATATTAAAAAAAAGAGGGGGGGGGCTGGGGATGTGGCTCAAGCGGTAGCGGGCGCCTGGCATGCGTGCAGCCTGGATTTGACCCTCAGCACCACATACAAAGATGTTGTGTCCGCCGAAAACTAAAAAGTAAATATTAAAATTCTCTCTCTCTCTCTCTCTCTCTCTCTCTCTCTCTCTCTCTCTCT